AAAAAAAAAAAAAAAAAAAAATCCAGCTGTGAACTCCTGAGGGCTGGGACATTTGTTGAACTACTTGCTTAATTTGATTTCCCTAGTACATAACATAGATCACACAAAAATGTTCAATAAATGTTTGTGAAATTCAATTTGTTGTTGTAATCTGGGAAGAGGATATGACATTCTTACTGGGAACATGGGCCACGTGCATGATCAATAAATATGATTGTTTTTAATTTATTTTTTTACAAAAAGAGATCAGACACAAGTTACAAAATAGAAATTGGAGGTAAGATTACCTGTCCATCCATGTACTGCAACCTGGACCAACATATGCCTATATTATATATTCCATAAAGTGGGAATGATAAGAGAATGTTTTGGCAATTGAAACAATATTTGAAGCTAAATAAAAATTTTATAAATGTTAAAAACATACAACTCACGAGTACCAAAACAAAATTCAAACTATGAATTATCCCATAATTGTTTTGAAATTTTTATTGTTCTCACAAAATAGCATACATAGAAGGTTTGATAGACAAATTTAACCTTTCCAAAAGGTAAATAATTACCTTTTTGTACAAATTATTTCAGTAAGTAGAGGAGAAAATATCCCTTTTTTCTAGAGTGGGAAAAGCTTGACACTAATTTCAAGAAAAAAATATATAAAAGGGGCCAGGCCATTTAGCTCAGTGATGCTGCCACCTGCCTCACAAGTGCAAGGTCGCGAGTTCTATCCCCTTTTAACCCTTAAAAAAAAACCCAAAAGGAAAATCCCTCCAGCTATCATGCACAGGCTCCAGCAGTGACCCTCTCTAGAATCAAAGGACAGCCCGAGGTGATGCCCCTTCCACAACCCTAAAAGACCCCGCAGTGTTGGAGGACGGTGTTTTCACAAAGCCCTCTGTTTGTTTTCCAAATTAGATCCTCCCCCCAGGTCTTGCTGGCCTGGTATCTCAGCTTGGGGTAAACTGCAGGCTCTGTCTCTAGGCTCTCCTCTGCCAGTGAGCTGTGTCTTTTCTGCTTCTCTGCAGAATCTGGATTACTCAGTGGTCTCTCCTTGCCTTGGAGGTCTGGTTCCAGGAGTATTTACATTTTCTCACGCTTTCCTTCCTGCAGTTGGTGTTAACTGGTCCCTGCTCATGGTATCAAGAAACACTCTCAAAGTCATTTCCCTTCCTTTCTGCCCCACTCCTGGACTCAGACCAAGATAGAATGTCACCTTCTAGTGCCGCAGATCCGTAACAGTGACCATCTCACCAGCACTCAGTCCATGCCTCCTGGAGATTCCTATCCACCCGTCAGAGTCGGTAGTCAGTATGTCCTTCTTCTGGTGGTTGGCATTACACTTCTCTAACACTGATCGGTGGAGACAGTAACAATGTCCATTTCCATTCAGGAAGAGGTGACCATGGGCCATTCCCTGCTCTAAGTGCTTTCTTCTCTTACCCATCAGATCCTCACAAGAGATAGGTGGACCCAAACATAACTGCTCAAGTTGACTACAGGAAAATCCATGTTCGTGGATTCAGTGTTTTCTGGGTTGCCAGCATAGTTTTCAACTCAGTTACATACTCTTAAAAGTGAACCTCACTCAGGCTGAGGATTTAGCTCAGTAGCATCACGCCTGCCTCGCAGGCACAGGTCCTGAGATTCATCCACAGAATAAAAAAATGTGAACCACAGTCACCTGGATGCTTCAAGTACATCAGTGCTAAACATTGCAGTGACAATGAGATGTACCAACTGTCCTGGCTGTATTCAGTGGACATAGCACAAGGGCATGTCAGGGTGGAGCAGAAACTAACGCTGAGAGCAAACTGCACCAGGTATCCAAGAACCAGAAGTCCCTGGAAGCACAGACTTGGGCTGGGAGATGGAGAATCAGTTTGGAACCAAGTCACAGAGACCCGAATCCTGAAGCTCCAGGGTTTAGGCTGTACTTTGAAAGCAGAAGGCACTGCCACAAGTCTCTGTCTGGGAAGTGACTAAGGCTGGCCCGCTAGCAAGTAACTTCCCAAGAGACAGAAACAATCATGCTGAGAGGCCTCCCAGCTGCTGCAAATTAGGACCCTGCTGTCCCTAAATGGAGAACTATGTGAGGCGGGTGGCAAGGTAAGGGAGGCTGAATCAGTCCCTAGATCTGCAGATTCCACTCCGAGGTTAGGATCCCTGGCACTGGGACTCAGCAGCTCCTGTGCTGACTCTGATAGGGGCCAGCTTTGCAAATCACCCATCTGGGTGACACCCAGTTGCCTGCCTTTTCCTGTGCCAAGACTGGAGGCACTGGGCATGACTTCAGACATCGCTGAGGGAGCCCCAGTGGCCCAGAAGGAAGCAACGGGAATGGGAATTGTCGGCAGTTCAGAATGGGAAAAATGACTGCTGGAAAACATCGCCAACACGGAACTCAGAGGGTTTCCCTAGTCATCAGAAGTGAGTAATTAAAAGTGAGAGCAGAAGATGAAGAGGCAAGGACGACTGTAAATGATTAAGCCGTGAACAGGGCGGTAAAAACATATGCAAGGAAAGGATTCGCTTCGATTTAGTCCTCCCACTCTCTGCTTCATTCAGATCCAGTGTCTGTGAGTGTGATCACCGCTAGCTACAGCAGCGATCTTCCACACCTTCCAAACAATAGTCACAGGCTCCCTGCTCCACACGTAGGCCTCGTCTAATTTTCACTAAGCGGTACTCGAACCTCACCCTGTGTGCCAGGTGCTGGGCTACAAGTGCACTTGCAGGGTCGCATGCAGTCCACAAACAGCCCTGAACAAGTGCTGCTGTTCCCATGTAACAGGCGAGGAAACTACAACTTGGAGAAACAAAGCACCTTGCAGGTCCTTTATTGAAAAGGCAGAGATTCAGACCCAGGCGTGGGTTTCACAAGACAGGCTCTTGCCATTGCACTGCCCCAGAGGTCTGCTAAACAGTGGTCAAATTGGGGCACAAAAACGAAGCAACCATGAAGCACAGTCTGTCTAGAGGTTTCAGGCTGGTGAAAGACCTAAGCTGTCACTGAAAACACTGCCTAATACCCAGACAGACTGCTCACATGGAAATGCTTGACTTCTCTGTTTGCCTTGGAAGACACGTTCAGATGGTGCAACGTGTGTTTGTTATGCTAGAACTTTCTCTCTGTGCCCTTCTGGTAAACGCGGATTACTGCAATGTGCCCTGCCAGGGCTGTCAGGAAATGAAGGCACACAGTGCCAGTGCTTGCCATCTGCCCTCGTCCAGCCACTGTGTGACTCCAGCTGACAGTGAAGGGAGGGCTCTAACCCTTTCCTCGGCTCAGACTCACAGTCAGATACCACTGTGCAGTCACGTTTCGCAGTGGAAGGTTCCACACTTCCCGCAGTTCAGAGGCGGTGTGAAGCGGCCTCTCCCTGACCACCTCTTCACCCACCTGGTCACATCACATCCAGGTGTCGTGTGTAGGATGACAGCAATCCCCGTCTGGGTACTCCGCTTGCACTATAAGTGGGAAAAAACCCAACTCGACTCATTCAATGCAAGCAACACTTTACTCCGTGCTGAGCTCACCTTCCTGCAAATTGTTCAAAGATAAGCCTCAAATCTATGTTCTCTCCAAATGGAAACTTTCATCCGCTTTTACATTTCTTAGCAATAGAATGTGCTACAAATGGGCAGCAGTCTGACAACGACAATCTGGTTACATAGTGCAAATGACACAAGCGCTGGCTGCGGTCTTGATTAGGACCCAGCTTTCTTTTATTATGGCTTTCAAAAACAATGCTTAAAAGTGCACGCTTCTCTTGGCCCACTCTGCTTAGGAAGAATAGTAGGTTTCTTCTTGACTAGTGAATTACTCAACTGTATCGAGGTTCAATTTTAAAATGTCAAATAAATACGGGGCAAAGACTTTAGATCAATTTAGAGATGGGAAATTTTATTTCAATCTCTAATTTGAATCTTTAGTATTCCACTTATTTTATGTTAATTCTGTTAACTTCAGGGTTATTTTCAGTAATTTGTAGACTGACGTAGAAAAGATTCAAAAAGAATTCAACTCAGGTTAATAACATTATCTTTATGAGGTACAAAGCTTCTGCTCCCAGCACAGGAGCCTTAGTGGGAAAGAAGTCCCCCCAATCCACTGTGCACGAGCAAATAATACTGCACTCCAAAGAAATACTACACAGCTGTAACATTCACCTCTGATGCCAGCAAACGAGGACCAACTCCTTCACGATGCAACTTCGGTTGAAAAAGGCCGAGGTCACAGACCACACGTGCCAAGGGCGCAGACACCGACAGCAGCAGGGTCCGTCCCCTGGGTGCGGCTTCTCTTCAGGTCCCCACTGCATTCTGAAGATTCAGGAGCCCGATTCAGTGTTTTTTCAAAACTTCTTCCATTAGGTCTGCTGAGACCAGAGATACCGATCACATTTTTCAAGCATGCTTTGTATCAAGGCTCTGAAATTCCAAAGGGGGGTAAAAACCAAACAAATTTAGCTACACATTCATTCTTCACAGAAGACTTAAAAATCTACAGAGACTGGAAAGAATTCAAACAGTAAACTGAACCTGTGCATTAGCAAACATATTTTGATGATAGTTTCATTTGGGGCGGGGGACTTGAACTTGGAACCTTGTGCTTGCGAGGCAGGCGGCGGAACCACTGAGCAAAATCCACGGCCCAAAAAGACATATTTTGAAATGAATGTGTCTGAAGACAACCTATGGAATGGTAGAAAAGAACAACTACCCTGAATTTTAAAAAGCTAAAAGGAATTGAATGGTTATTTCTCCAAAGATACTCTATAAACAGTCAACAAGGCAATGAAAAGAAGGTAGCATCACTAATCATTAGGAAGATGCAAACAAAACAACAAGATCCTATCTAATGCTCATTAAACAGCTAGTATTCTAAAGATACAAAAATGGGGGCCAAAGTAAACCACTCCTAAAAGAAAATAGGAAGGGAAAAACAGAAGAATGGACGAAAGGAAGGTATCTGAGTTACTTTACTGTTGCTGACATACAACACCCAACACCCACAGTTAAAGGAGGAAAGGCTTGTTTGGCTCACAGTTCTTGGAGGTGTCAGTTTACAGGTTGGGGGCTCCAAGGCAGGGTGGCATCACAGAGGAGAAACACTTCAAGGTAGAGGCAGTAAAGAGCAAGCAATAAGCAACAAGCAATGACCCTGTTTCTGTCCTTTGTATCTTAGTCAGACAAGCCACTCTTTAGGACAGGTAGCACTCACACCCTTAATTCTAGCATCACATTCTTGATCACAGCCTCACACACCCTAGGCACAGCCTCCTCCAAAAAGCCCCACCTATGACTGCACGAGGCTTTGAGGGGACACCTAGACACAAGTCCCAGCAGGTGCAAAATAAAGTTCAAGAGAGAAGGCTGGCTAGGACACAGAGAAACCTGAGCCCTTGTGCACTTTTGGTAGAAATGTAAAATGGTACAGCCATCATGAAGACAATGGAAATTCCACTTCTGTGTGTGTATCCAAAGAAATGAGAGCAGGGTCTTGAAGAGATAATTGAACACCCATCGTCACAGCAGCACTGTACACAATATCCAGGGGGGAAACAGCCCGGGTGCTCACTGACGGATAAAGGGTAAATACACGTGGTATATACCTACAGCAGAGTATCACTGAGCCTGACACTTGCTACAGCACGGATGAACGCTGAGACACTCTGCTAAGAGAAACAGGCAGTCACAGACAGACTGACACAAGCTGAGCATATCTACTCCAGAAATTCAAAACTTCTAAGGAAATTTGGACTTTGCCTCATTTCACATTTTAGATTTTCAGATTAAAGATGCTCAACCAGTAAAGTTTATGTACATATTTGAAAATCCAAGAAACTGTGAAACCTAAAACACTTCTGGTCCCAAGTCCTTTGGACAAAGAATACTCAATCAGTACAGTAGGAGTGCACGAAGATGATGTGTCTAGGACAGGCCAAGTTTAGGAATAAGAATGATGGATTCAGGACTGCGGATTTAGCTCAGTGGTTCCGCTGCCTCCCTGGCAAGCGCAAGGTCCCGAGTTAGATCCCTGATACCAAAAAGAAGGAAAACCTAGAATGACGGTTTCCGGGGTCTCAGGGAAGGAAGAATGAAACGCCGATATTTAATGGATACAGGGCTGGAGTTTGCAAGGGCAAAGCTCTGGAGATTGGTTTCACAACAATGTAAATATACTTGATATAACTGAACTGGAAACAAGATGATTAGATGATCTATTTCATGTTATGTGATTTTCTTTCTTTTTCTTTCTCATTTATTACATATATATCACCACAATGTTGTACAGAAATAAACCTTGGCTGAGACAATTAGTCATCTGGTATGAATAATATTCCTAAAGAACTAAATAAGGGGCAGAGGATTTAGCTCAGTGGCCCCACACCTGCCTCGCAAGTACAAGGTCCTGTGTCCAATCCCCAATATGAAAAAACAAAACAAAATAAAAAACTAAACATATATACTATCTGGGTATTCCCATTAAGCCTGAGAGTAGCCCAGTCATGATCCTGAATGAAGTATTACTGCAGCCTCTTCAACAAATTCTCCAGATGACTCTGTCTCCTCTTCTGCTAAGAGGGGCCCAGGCTGTGTGATCTCTAGAGTCCCACCCTCCTCTGAAAGTCTAGAAGACAGCAGGACAAACTGCATTACCTCTGCCTTTTCTCAGCAATCCTCAGGATATCACAGGTTCTAGTAAACTTCTCCGACAACTCAGGGGCCACACCACATTCCTGTAGCAGTGACCAGGCACGATCCGGGCCCACGGACTTAGCTAACAAGAGAGCCACATTTTCCATGCTGACTGGGGAAGACCCATCACTGACGCTCCCATTCTGTGATTCCCGGGTGGCTGTCCTTGGGCTCTTGCTCTGCAGGAGATGGAGGAGAAATTTCCATTCCTCCACAGTCTCAGGGATCCAACCTGCACAGACACAGACATAAAGTTGGCTCTGACCACTGTTTCTCTTTTGTTGGTACTGGGGATTGAACCCAGGGGTATTCTTCCACAGAGCTGCATTGTCACATTTTAATTTTTCTTCATTAAAATAATGTTTTTAAAGATAGGATATCACTGACCCTGCATGGTGGCACATGCCTCTAATCCCAGCACTCGGGAGGCTGAGGCAGGAGGATTGCTGTGAATTCGAGACCAGCCTGGGCCACATAATGCCAGATCAGTCTCAACTACATAGTGAGACCCTGTCTCAAAAATCCAAAAAAAAAGGATAGGATGTCCTTAAATTGCCCAGGCTGGCCTTGAACTTGTAAACTTACTGCCTTAGCCTCAGAAATAGCTGGTGAGAGAGGTATGTGCTACCATAACCACTCTTACCTACCGCCTACACACAGAAGGTGGTCAAAACTGGGATAATATTTAATATCAAAACCTAAAAATATCTTAAAAACAATCTCACTGCCTTAGCAGAAGGTTTTCTGTACATCTAATGAATAAACAGTTCAGAACACACAGAAATCATATAATTAACTTCAATGTTTTGTCACTCACACACCAAGTGAGATCGAATAGCACACCCTGGGAGGGGCACTGGATTCCCGCTGATGAGCAAGACAGACACAATGCCTACAGTCTTTACACTCTAGTAAGAAAGAATGTAAACATCTGAATACGCATATACTTACAAACTGTGCTGAAACTACACTATGAAAGAAAAGAACAGAAATAAGAGAGGGAATAGCTGTTTTGGTTTGTAAGGCCTGGGCAAAGCTGTGAGGAAATGGCATTTAAGCCCCAAACTGAAAGCTAAGCTCAGAGAACTTGGGGACGTGGCCCACAGAATGGATTCACTGCAGCAGGGAGGATCAGGAAGGTGGAAGGAAAGAACTTAGTGAGTTCAAAGAACTGTTTCAGCCTAGAGCGCACAGACAGGAGTCAGCAGCGGGCAGCAGGTGAGTGGCACAGGCCTCGCGCACCAGGTTTAGAACCTGAACTGTGTTGCGAGTTCATTGCCAGGGCTTTCAACAAGAGAAGCCACCCACTCTGATTTTTGTTTAAAGGAACCATTCTGACTGCTATGGGGAAAGCAGGTTAAAGGTAGGCAAGAATGGAAGCCAGGTTACCCGTTATGAGGTCACCTCAGCAGTCCAGGCAAGCAGCTAGGATCACAGTGCTGGGTGGCAGAGTAAAAGAAAGCGATAGGAAACAAGAAGCAAGACCTGTCACGCAAAGGTACAAGATCCCAACGAAGAGTGTGACTGTAATGTTTGCTTTACATGCACCGATAAACTTAATGGAAAAGAAAAAGCGATAGGAGGTATGTTTGGCACTAAAATCATTATGTTCCTCATTTGGAGACAGAAGTGTAAAGAGAAGATGCCTTTAATACATCAGGGTAAGAATAACTTGATTAGTAGAATTACTGCAACAGACTATTGAGAGAACTTTTATGTGGGTGATGAAGATTTTAGCTGATATATATCTACATTTGTTATGTTTCCTGAATTTTCCATTTTTTCCCAACGCAAACACATGTGTGACTTTGAAAATACAAACCACGTGTATCTTAATTCCCTTTTCTGTGTTTTTCTTTCTTCCTTTTTTTTTTGTACCAGGTATCAAACTCAGGCCCTTGTGCTAGTGAGGCTGGCGGCAAAACCACTGAGACAAATCCCAGGCCCTATATCTTAATTTTCCTGGTTACTTTTCTTTTCTGTTTTGATACTGGGGATTTGAACTCGGGGCCTTGTGCTTGAGAGGCAGGCATGGTGCCCCTGAGCTAAATCCCTGGGTTACTTTTCAGGAGACTATGCACACCTATAGTTCTAGTCCTTCAAAACATTTCTGGAACAAAGAGATCTCAGTCATTATAGCCATAGTGGCGATGTCTGGAGCTGACCCTCCCCAGCCTACTGGCTCTTGGCTAACTAAGTCTGACTTCCCCTCTCCATGCCGAAGGGCTAAAAAAAGGCCTCAGGGAGAGGCCTGGTCTTTCTGTGACAGACGTGGGGCAGAGGGTTGGCACCTCTGTGTGCAGAACGCAGCCACACTGTGACAGTGGCCAAGGCCACCCCTCTGAGTGCAGCAGGGACTCTCAGGCTTCAGCTACCGGTGTACAAGTCCTGCTTCTCATCAGTGTTGCACCGATGAGAATTCAAAAGTAAAAAGCATCAAACGGCTGTGAAGAGCTGGGGAATCTGACTGCTATTGCACTTTAAATTCATCTTCATGAGCCCTAACTTTGGACTGATTAAGACAGCACGATGAAGGAAGGAGCACACGTTTGGAGACAGGCCTGGATCTGAACACCAGCTCTAGCATTTATCAGCTGCATGACTCTGGGGTACGTAGGCGTCCTTTCTGTGTCTTGGTCCACACATCTGGAAGGTGTTTGAACAGCAGCTATTCCAAAACAGCACATGAAAAGTGCACAGCAAAGCACCCAAGATTCAGCGGACACTTGTTCAGTAGACCAGGTTTCATAATGCATCGAAGGCATAGGGTTTTAAACTCCCCCAGTATGACACTGAGCTAAATTTACATACGTGATCATGACGACGTTTCTTTATGGAAAAGCCTGGAGAGGCTCCTAAAATACCACCCGCAGGAGTAACCCGCTGGGACGTACGCACCACTGTCCCCCGACATCAGGCTCATATCATTCAGATGCACGATGGTGGTGAAGGCCTCCCTTCTTCTCTCCAGCTCCAAGCACAGAGTGAGATAGCCAGGCCAGAATCTGTAAAGAGACCAATATGGAGGCAGTTCCGGTATCTGAAGTTTGCTGTCTAATACAGTGGGCGCCTGCCACGTGTGGCTACTTCAATTTCAATTAATGAGAAGCGCAGGAAGGCCCCAACTTAGGAGCATGCGAGCTGCCAACTTTGACGGTGCGCTGTGTAAGACTCACAGCTGTACTATACAGGACTCACTTTGTGTAAAGTCAATTTTTCAGTTGACCTCACAGTAGTTCAAACATTTTTTGGCCACACACAGCTAGTGGTTCCCTTATTGGACAATGCAGTGGAACATTTCCATTACCACAGAAAAGTCTCTCAGACAACCTTGATCTAGAGCACTTAAGAAAATAACACTGAAGGCTACTCACCAATTAGGAGGCACATGAGCCTCATATACTTTATAAATTCTGCAATCCATAAAAAATCAGTACATTTCTTCTCCAATATGCAAACTGTGGAAATTCTCCTGGTGTCCCAGCCTCCTCCAATGGCCATCTAGCAAGTCCCACTGCACTCTCCTTTGAGATCCCCTTGGCGCACTCCTTCTCAGCCCAGGAATCCCTGAAGGAGCACCACAGCCTCCCAGCAGGTTTTGCTGCATCCAAGCCTTGTGTGTGACAACAGAAGTGGTCTCCAGAGGCTCCACTTTCATTTTGTCTTTTCTGGACCACTAAACTGAAGAGTCTCTACTGATAGTAAAAGCTTCTGACCGGCTTTCAAGGTCCCCCATGATCTCATTGCTCACCCCCTGGCTAGCCTCATCCTCATTATCAGTGAGCAGATATGTCTCAAACACCTACCACCAAATGAGTGAGACTGTGTGAGGGAAATAAAGACTGGAGTTCCTGTAAAATATTATAAACCACATAAAGCCAAGGACAACATCTACATAAATAATCTCCTCATGGGTGAAGTAGATAATAAGCACTGTCAGCTTTTCAGGCCTTTTCTGGAAATGTTCCTGTCACCTGACTGGCCCTCTACCTGGCTCCTCTAGAGACACAAATCCTTTTTTTTTTTGGTACCGGGGATCAAACTTATCAGATCCTTGTGCTTGCAAGTCAGGCAGCAGAACCACTGAGCTGAATCCCTGGCCCTACAGACACAAATCTTAACCCAGCCTGTAGGGCTCACTGTGCCTCCAGAGTCTCAGCTTGTCCCTGAGCCCCTCACCAATGTTTCTGCTGAGCCTTTTTTCCCTTCTTGGAATTTCTTTATCCACCAGAACTGATATCCAGCGCTTAACTCAGGCCTGAAAACGGGCTGGCAACTGAGCAGAAGGCATGGAGCAAAATTAGCAGGGGCCAATCTCTCCTACACAAAAATATGCACAGAACTTAAAATGAAAAAGATGTTTACTATCTCTTAAAACACAAAGGTATGTTTACCTATAAATAAAAAACTGAATTACCAAATGATAAAGCACATCACCTCAGGGCCTTAACACTGACTGAAATGACTCTAATCCTAACTTCAGTTTCTGTGGAAATCCTTACTTACCCACAGGACTTACAGACGTCAGTCATTTTCTCTTTGGTTGTAAAATCTGCAGGAAGTTTAATTAGATAAAGGATCAGCTGACTGTAACCCCAGGAGAACAAGTGCGAATGAGGCCTGTATAATGAAAACCTTAGTAAATTAGAAAGGAAATAAACTCTACATTATTAGTCACCTAATAGGTAAGAATTCAGTTTAATTATATTCTATTATTACTATATTTTCCTAACATTTCTATTTGGTTTGTGAAAAATGAAAAATAGCTATTTTTTTCTATACTCTCTTCCTGTTAAAAAAAAATAGGTAAATTTGCTGGGCACCATGGCACCTATAGTTGAAGTTATTCAAGAGGCTGAGGCAGGAAGCTCATAAAATTGGGGTGAGCCTGGGCAACTCAGAGATCCCGTCTCAAAATGAAAACTAAAAAGGGTTAGGGTATATAGCTTAGTGATAACATACCCCTGGGTTGGATCTCCATTCCTAAAAGAGAAAAAAAGAAGCCTCGAAATTTAGGGGCTAGAGAGATGCAGCTCAGCAGGATAGTACTTGCCTAGCACACTCCACACTGTGGTTCCAATTCCCATGCCACACACACAAAAAACACTAGATAATTTAGGTAATCAAGAGCAAAAACAGAAGTCAGTATTACATCACTCTCAGACGGGATATTGGAGGGGCTTTTACAAAGCTTACCCTGAATGAGTATTTCTAATACAAGTATCAATGTTCTGTGAATGCACATTTTTCGGGCAGGAATTATCAGAGTTTTATGGGCTCTGTGACCAAAAAATGTTCAGAACCACTAAGAAGTTCATATAATCTCATTACTACTACGAATTGGGTCAGTCTCTCCCACAGAATGGTACACATGAATAAAACGGTTGCATTCCAAAGCAACAACAGAACACAGTGCATAGAAAAAGAACTCTTCCTTACTTGGGGTACCCTTCATCATCCATAGTACTTGTGCTTGGTGGAGTATCGTGGGACACTGCCAAAAGTAGCCAATCTAATCTTAAGGACCCTGGTTGTAGAAGGGACTCTAGGAAAGAGGACCTGAAAGAAAATTGGGGAAAAAAAATCACCAATCTTCATGAGAAAAAACATAAAGGGTAGGGGTATGAATAAAGTTTCATTAAGGGATCAAGATAATAAATAAAATTAACATGAAAACTCATTTATTGAAAAATATCTAGAAATGCTGGTGAAAATTTTAGCATTTTAAATGAATAACTGAACCCCTGCTGATAAAGAGGTAATGCACTATCCAAAGAAAGGCAAGATAATAAGGAAAATGTCAACACACAGGAATAGAAGAAATAAAAATCAGTGTGGCAGCCACCCATGGAAAGATATGAAATAATGAATCAGTCTGAAAAGAAGAGAGGACCTAGAACTGAGATCCACCCCAAAAAGCTGAGATACTGTCAATGAACAGAGCAGTAGTTCCACTGTGAGAGACAAGAAGCTCATTTGACTTTGCCTAGGCCCTAAAAAACCCTGAGAGCGGGGGAAAGTAAAGAACTGTGCTCCGCGCACATTTGTGCAGCGTGGCAGTGTGGTACAAGATCACCCAAACTCTCATCTTCCATAGTAGGTGCTGCAGGAAAAATGTTACACCTGCTGATAAAGGTTAAGCATGCATTATCCAAAGACAGGCAATTCAATAAGTCTGCTCTCCTCACCGCTGGTCTTCAGGTCTTGATTTCACTAAACCATCTAAATAGGCAAGAAACTGAGCTGGATGATGGCGACAAAGTTGTATGACGTCGGAGGGCAAAATGGATGGATAAAACCTGATCAAGGATCGAAGGGCAGATTCTCCAAACTTCTCATATAACCTGCATTTTAAAACAGAACATATTAGGGCCAAGGATGTAGCTCAGTGGCACTGTGCCAACCCGGCAAGTGCAAGGTCCTGAGTTCTATCCCCAATACCACACACATACACACACAAAAAAAAACAGAGCATATTATTCAAGCCCTGCCAAGGAAATGTAGCAACTTATTGAGAGTCTGACTCAAAAAAATAGGCTGATATGTAGCTCAGTGTCCTACATTTCATACCCAGTGTCATAAATAAACACAGAACACATTAGCCTTCCTATAAACCACATGTAGAACAACCTACCGGGTAGCATAAGCAATCAACAAAGGACTGTCAAAAGGAATGGAGTCATCCAATAACTTTAATCTTGTCGGTAGGTCTCCTTCTCCCATCTCCATATATGTAGGATTAGAACTTGCTATTTCTGAAAAATAAAGCACATCCTTTTCCCTTCATCTCTTAGCTGCAAATATTCAATTCATGAATACATTCATTTAACAACCATTAGTCACATACCTACTTTGCGCACCAACTCTATTCTATTCTTGTGTTTGTTAAGCATTGTAGGAGAGACCAAAAGAAAAACAATGAGATGTAATCTCTACTTTAAGCACCCTTAAAATCAAACTAAGATAAAGCATATTGTAGTTTTAAGTCAGACAAAGGAACAGGTAGTGAACATATAAATATTATCCTTAAAAATTAGTATCTGAGGGCCGGGGATTTGGCTCAGTGATTCTGCCACCTGCCTCACAAGTGCAAGGTCCCGAGTTCAATCCCTGGTACCAAAAAAAATTAGTATCTGACGCTATATATGTCTATGATATATAGATAAATATATAGCTATCACAAGCCCTATATATCTACCATCTATGCCACGCTGCTCTGTTTTTCTTCTAGGAGTATAGCCTTATTTCATCTTTTAGAATTAAATTAATTAAATTCATAAATTAATTTTAAAATATTTGACCTAGAGCTGGGGATTTGGCTTGTGGTTCCGCCGCCTGCCTCACAAGAGCAAGGGCCCAAGTTCGATCCCCAGTACCAAAAAACAAAACAAAAAACCAAAACGCTATGAATCTAAAGTAAAATGAATTTTTTGTCAAGTAGTTTTCAACTGGCTCTAAAGATAAGTCCCAAACATCAGTCCCAAAAGCTGTCTTTCACACTTACATCTTTAGAAGGACAGACTGTTCAATGAACCGTTTCTAAAAAGCCAACCCTCAGTTTCTGATACATCTGTTAAAAATGCCATTTTCCCTCCAGTCTTGCTGCTTCCATTTGATTATGTTAGATAATAAGGACTTACAAGAATTCCACGAGGAAGCTACACTGAGAGTGGACAAGTAAGGGAAAGCTCTATGCCTGGGTGGGAGCTCAGTCAGACTTACTGCCTAAACTCTAGTGAACAGGTGCATTGCCTCAAACTGCCTACCGCCTTGCTCTGGCCAGCACTAGCCACAAGTGACAGCCACCACTCCATCTGATGCAGATTCTTTCTGCTGCTCTCCTGTGACCAGATTGGGTCTGCTCACATAATAGAGAAAGAGTAAATTTCCAGTAAGTAATACTGTCATGTACTTCAATCTATTTGAAAGGAAATAAATTGTTTCAAATTTAACATAAAAGGCAATCTACCTCAACTCAGAAAAATAATCTAAAATCATTTCTTATGCTTTTTAAAACTCCTATCTGTGGATTGAAACAGAATTATAACTATAGATGCATGTTTCAAGAAAGCTAAAAGATCATTAAGTCAGATACTATAAAAGTGTTATTTCCACCTGTAGCAGTTCACTTTGGTGATAAAGGAAAATTCTGTGTAGAGTCTAAATCAGTTATTGGAAGCACGGCCACTGTTATTCAAGTAGTAAATATTTATCTCTTCAAAAACAAGATTCCAAAGCATTGTGAAGAAAATTTACCTCTATGTGTCTATGTCAGGATGACAAACAGTATGACCTCCAGTCAAGTCTGAGGTAAACTACTACTGGCTGAGCACCAGTGTTTGAGGCAGACAGGCCAGCTTTCCCCCATATCCGTTCTCTCCCTCCTGGATCCGTGGCTAGCTTACACATCCCAGTCCGGTCTGCAGTCAGGTAGGGCTATGTGAAAGAATTCTCACCCATGCAATGTGAACAGACAAGAGGTAAGCTGCTACCAGGCCAGGCCTGTCAGAGAGCATGCTCACGTGCCTTCCCTTGGACACAGCAAGCCAACCTCCACCACAACCCCAAAAGGGGGATGGAGCTTAAAATAACAGAAAGAACTGGAAATGCTTTATGACTACATGTAATTGACCTGGAACAACTGTCCTGGAGTTTTACGAGCAAGAAATAAACTTCTATTATATCTGAATTATTACACTACAAGATATTACAGAAGTTTAGCCTACCCAATTAAGGTTATCTCTGCACTTCAGTTTCCGCATCTATGGTAAAGATTGTTGGCAGGATAAAATGAGATAATGCCTAAAAACTGTTTGCTATTTTATATGGCACAAAGTACACTCAATATATGGCATACATTATTTCCATATTTTTAAGTTACATGAAAGATTTTCTTATTTGTATATATCTGCATTTACAAACATTTTACTCTAACCCCAATAGTTTCGACATTGCTACATCACTTTCTCAATGTGACTGTGAGAAAAATAAAATTTCTTATACTAGAGTTACAAATTAAACCAAAGTTTAAAGAACTATTAAAAAATTAAATTGAGAAAGCTGGGCATGGTGGCACATGCCTGTGATCCCAGCACTCAGGAGGCTGAGGCAGGAGGATTGCTGTGAGTTTGAGACCAGCCTGGACTATACAGTGAGTTCCAGAGCAGTCTGAACTACATAGAGAAACCCTGTCTCAAAAAACCAAACAA